CTCATTGATCTGTCTAATGTTGACAGTGGGGTGTTAAAGTCTCCCATTATTATTGTGTGGGAGTCTAAGTCTCTTTGTAGGTCTCTAAGGACTTGCTTTATGAATCTGGGTGCTCCTGTGTTGGGTGCATATATATTTAGGATAGTTAGCTCTTCTTGTTGAATTGATCCCTTTACCATTAAGTAATGGCCTTCTTTGTCTCTTTTGATCTTTGTTGGTTTAAAGTCTGTTTTATCAGAGACTAGGATTGCAACCCCTGCCTTTTTTTGTTTTCCATTTGCTTGGTAGATCTTCCTCCATCCCTTTATTTTGAGCCTACCTGTGTCTCTGCACGTGAGATGGGTCTCTTGAAAGCAGCACACTGAGGGGTCTTGACTCTATCCAATTTGCCAGTCTGTGTCTTTTAATTGGAGCATTTAGCCCATTTACATTTAAGGTTAATATTGTTATGTATGAATTTGATCCTGTCGTTATGATGTTAGCTGCTTATTTTGCTCGTTAGTTGATGCAGTTTCTTCCTAGCATCAATGGTCTTTACAATTTGGCATGTTTTTGCAGTGGCTGGTACCAGTTGTTCCTTTCCATGTTTAGTGGTTCCTTCAGGAGCTCTTATAAGGCAGGCTTGGTGGTGACAAAATCTCTCAGCATTTGCTTGTCTATAAGCAATTTTATTTCTCCTTTACTTATAAAGCTTAGTTTGGCTGGATATGAAATTCTGGGTTGAAAATTCTTTTCTTTAAGAATGTTGAATATTGGCACCCACTCTCTTCTGGCTTGCAGGGTTTCTGCTGAGAGATCCGTCATTAGTCTGATGGGCTTCCCTTTGTGGGTAACCCGACCTTTCTCTCTGGCTGCCCTTAACATTTTTTCCCTCATTTCAACTTTGGTGAATCTGACAATTTTGTGTCTTAGAGCTGCTCTTCTCGAGGAGTATCTTTGTGGTGTACTCTGTATTTCCTGAATTTGAATGTTGGCCTGCCTTGCTAGGTTGGGAAAGTTCTCCTGGATAATATCCTGAAGCGTGTTTTCCATCTTGGTTCCATTCTCCCCATCACTTTCAGATACACCAATCAGACGCAGATTTGGTCTTTTCACCTGGTCCCATATTTCTTGGAGGCTTTGTTCATTTCTTTTTACTCTTTTCTCTCTAAACTTCTCTTCTCACTTCCTTTCATTCATTTGATCTTCAATCACTGATACCCTTTCTTCCAGTTGATCAAATCAGCTACTGAAGCTTGTGCATGCATCATGTAGTTCTCATGCCATGGTTTTCATCTCCATCAGGTCATTTAAGGTCTTCTCTCCACTGTTTATACTAGTTAGCTATTCTTTCAATCTTTTTTCAAGGTTTTTAGCTTGTTTGCGATGGGTTTGAACATCCTCCTTTAGCTCATAGAAGTTTGTTATTACTGATCATCTGAAGCCTTCTTCTCTCAACTCGTCAAAGTCATTCTCCTTCCAGCTTTGTTCTGTTGCTGGCAAGGAGCTGCATTCCTTTGGAGGAGAAGAGGTGCTCTGATTTTTAGAATTTTCAGCTTTTCTTCTCTGGTTTCTCCCCGTCTTTGTGGTTTTATCTACCTTTGGTCTTTGATGATGGTGATGTACAGATAAGGTTTTGGTGTGGATGTCCTTTCTGTTTGTTAGTTTTCCTTCTAACAGTCAGGACCCTCTGCTGAAGGTCTCTTGGAGTTTGCTGGAGGTCCACTGCAGACCCTGTTTGCCTGGGTATCACCAGCAGAGGCTGTAGAACCACAAATATTGCAGAATGGCAAATGTTGCTGCCTGATGGTTCCTCTAGAAGCTTCATCTCAGAGGGGCAGCCAGATGTATGAGATCTCAGTCAGCCCCTACTGGGAGGTGCCTCCCAGTTAGGCTACTCGGGGGTCAGGGACCCACTTGAGGAGGCAGTCTGTCCATTCTCAGATCTCAAAATTCCATGCTGAGAGAACCACTACTCTCTTCAACGCTGTCAGACAGGGACATTTAAGTGTGCAGAAGTTTCTACTGCCTTTTGTTCAGCTATGCCCTGCCCCCAGAGGTAGAGTCTACAGAGGCAGGCAGGCCTCCTTGAGCTCCGGTGGGCTCCACCTAGTTCAAGCTTACCAACTGCTTTGTTTACCTACACAAGCCTCAGCAATGGTGGGCACCCCTCCCCCAGTCTCGCTGCCACCTTGCAGCTCAATCTCAGACCACTGTGCTAGCAGTGAGCAAGGCTCCGTGGGCATGGGACCCTCCCAGCCAGATGCGGGATATAATCTCCTGGTGTGCTGTTGCTAAGACCATTGGAAAAGTGCAGTATTAGGGTAGGAGTGACCCTATTTTCCAGGTGCTGTCTGTCACAGCTTCCCTTGGCTAGGAAAGGGAATTCCCTGACCCCTTGCGCTTCCCAGGTGAGGTGATGCCTGGCGCTGCTTTGGCTCCCAGTCCGTGGGCTGCACCCACTGTCCTGCACCCACTGTCCAACAAGCCCCAGTGAGATGAACCCGGTACCTCAGTTGGAAATGCAGAAATCCCCCGTCTTCTGCATCACTCACGCTGGGAGCTGTAGACTGGAGCTGTTCCTGTTTGGCCATCTTGGAACCTCTGCCCTAAACCACTTTTCTTTTTAAATTACCCAGTCTCTCAGGTAGTTCTTCATAGAAATGTGAGATCAGACTAATAGTGTCTTTGTTGTATTTGGGGATATAGGACTCTCCATTCTGTTAGAGTATTTTTCTGTACTTAGGTTAACAACACATTGTCTTGACTACTGAAGTTTGAAATTGGGTAGCAAAGGTTATCTAGTTTTGCTATTGTTTTTCAAGATTATTTTGCCTTTCTGCATTCTTTGTATTCTTACATAAATGTTAGAACTAGCTTGTCAATTTAGAATTAGCTTATCAAGGAAACTTGCTGATATTTTGACTGGGATTTCATTGAATATAAAGATCAATCTGTGGAGAGATGAATTCTTAAGAGTATCGAATCTATACACTGACTTAACAAAAGCTTTTGATGAAAATATAATTTCTTTAGTATTTGTCAGTGTGATAAGGTTGAACTTTAAGTAAGATTTTCATTAACTTCAACATGTCATGTCATTAGTTTATAATGTGTGCTTCATTATAGTAGTGTCTAAGCTTTGGTGAATATTATATTCCTGAATCCTAGCCTGGCTTTCTTAACTCCCTAGAAGATGTGCCAGAACCACAGTACTAACCTTTTCCTAATAAAATTGCTTTTAGGAGCTCTTGAAACAACATCAAAGTGATACCTTGCAATTAGAAGAGCTGAGAAAAACCAAAGAGGTAAGCTTTTTCTTCCTTTCCTGTGGACTTGGTATGTTACAAATACACCAGTAAAATAACAGGCTGTCAGTATAATGGAATTGACGGTAATTTCTCCAAAACCAATAAGAAATGGAAGACCTAAAGCTGAGTTTACTGGATTCAGTAAGTTAAAAAGAATTTTTGAAATTATCTGTAAAATAAAGCCAGTGCGCCTTTTTAAAGTCTGATTTGAACAAATAGATCAGCAATATACTATGTGATCTTCAATGTTGAATGACTTTCATTTCTAGCAAGGTTCAAACCACAAATGATCTTTCAGTTATAAAACACCCAGTTCTTCCCTTTGAGCTCTGAAAAGTATAAAACTGTCTCCTTTGGAACTCTGTCACCAAGCCCCTCCTTAAACTCTGAGTGTACCTCACACACGATGACTTCCTCAGAGACTCTATTCTGGGACAAATTTATGGCAGTCTGTGGGAGACAACTGAAGAGGAACTGTTCAAATCCACAAGGTGATGTGTGATTCTTCCATCACTGAGAATTTGACTTGGATCCAGAATGGACATGTTTGAGAAAATATTAGTCATTATAAAGGCATTATAAATGAATTCTATCTTAGAGCCCAGGCAGGGCTTCAGCATCATTGAAAGGTAAACAGACTATGGTGTCCTACAAGTTCAAGAAATGGGTTTTGGAGGAAGATATACCCAGTGTATTATAATAACTATTTTAATGAGCTTGTCTACTAATTCTGTCATTTATATCATGTCTGAGTCTGTTTCTCTTCATTGATTTTTCTCCTCATTAATGGTCATACTTCCTTGTTTGCATGCCTGGTTAAGTTTGGCTTGGATGTCAGCCATTGTGGTGTTTACCTTGTTGGGTGCTGAATATTTTTATATTCCTTTAGATAATCTTGAGCTTTGCCCTGGGATGTAGTTAAGTTGCTTGGAAACAGTTTGATCCTTTTGAGCCTTGCTTTTTAAGCTTTGTTGGGCAGAACTAAAGCAGTGTTTAGTGTGGAACTAATTTTCCCCCACTGTTGAGGTAATACCCTCTGAGTACTCGACACCACACCCTCTGTATGAGAAGGATTTTCTACTCTGCCTGGTGGGACCATGAACTATTCCCAGCCCGGTGTTGGCTCTGGGGATTGTTCTACCTGCTCCTTGCTGGTGGTTCCTTCCTCTAACCACATCTCTTTCTATTTCTTCCCTCCATCACTCCACCCCAGAGGCACTTGCCTCCTTGCTGTTTCCTTAACAGGCCAGGATGCTCCTACCTTGGGGGCTTTGATATTCTGTCTTCCTGAAAAGCTCTTTCCCAGATATCCACATGACTTCCTTCCTTTCCTCCTCCTGGTCTTTATTCAAATGCCACCATCTCAGATGCCACCCTATTTAAGGGCTCCACTCCCTGCCCCAACACTTGCTTTTCTCTAAATGGGATGCCACTGGAGATTTTTGAGGAGGAGAGTATTATTTGGGGAAACAACTGTGGCAGCAATGTGAAGGAGAATCTGAAGAATCAGAATGACAGGAGGCAGAACCTGTTAGAAGGGTCATCTCCCATTTACACCTCAACCTGACTTCTGCTCCCATCCCAGCCATGGAAACTGCTCTTGTTAAAATCACAAGTAACTTCTGAGTTTCCAAATCCAAAGAATGCTTCACCTCACTTGACATGAGCAGTATCAGGTTCAATTGATCACTCTCTCCTTGCAACATTCACCTCTCTTAACTTTCATGGGCTTCTGGCGTTTCCTTCACCTCATTGGTCACACCTTCTCAATCTTCTTTACTAGAACTAGAACTCTGCTTAAAACCCTTCAATGGCACCCCATTGTTCTCCCACCTAATTTCTAAGTCCTGGAGTATTTTGAGGCTGGTTCCCAGGCCCCCTTCTCTTCTTTATCTTCCGTTTTTCCTTTGGAGAGCTCATCTGTTCACACAGATGTAAAAGCCATCTCTGTGCTGATAACTTGGGTTGATACCTCCAGCTTTGCCTCTCTCCTGAGCTCCAGGCTTGTACATCCAACTGCCCATTTGACATTTCAGCATAGGTGATATACAGGCACCTCAAAATTAACATACCCAGCTCCACACTCTCAATTATCCACCAGAGATTTAGCCCCCAAATTGTCAACTCCCTCAGCTGTTCTAAGCCTAGACCTGAAGTCATCCTTGATTTCTTCTTTCCTTTCACTCTCCCAAATTCAACCCAGCAGCCTCAGCCAATCCTCTATAACATATTCCACATTCATCCACGTCCCTCCAACTCTGTTGTCACCTTACCCTAGTCCGTTATTTCTCAGCTACATGACCGTAGTATTCTCCTCCTTAGTTCCGTTGCTTTCCCTCTTGCCCCTGCAGTCCATCCCCTGGAGCATAATATAAGCAAGTGAGATACGTGCATTCACTTCTCTGCTTAACACCCTTCAATGGGTCCCCATTGTTCTTAGGTTACCTTGTCCTCTCAGGTGCCACCAGGCTCCCCTGTATTTCCTCACCATGGCCCTCTATCCTTACTGTCTCTATTCCACCCATATTGGTGTTCCTTTGGGTCCTCAAACACAATGAGCATTTTGCATTCTAAGGACCTTTCCACAGGCTTCTATTCATTCTTTAGTGGAAGTTTGTTTGTGTGTTTGTTTCAAGAAGCTGCTTTTTAGAGCAGTTTTAGGTTTACAGAAAAATTGAGCAGAAAGTACAGAGAGTTCCCATATACTACCCCACCCCACCCCACCACTAGTTTCCTTTATTAGTAGTATCTTACATTGGGGTGCCACATTAGTTGCAGTTGATGAGCACTGTGGATGCATTCTTATTAACTAAAGTCCGTAGTTTACATTAGGGCTCTTTGTGTTGTACATTCTGTGGGTTTTGCCTAATATATCATGTCATGTAGCCACCATTATAGTGTCATACAGAATAGTTTCACTGCTCTAAAAGTGCCCTCTCCCCCACCTATTCATCCCTCCCTTGCCCTCCAAATCCCTAGAAACCACTAATCTTTTTTCTGTCTGTATAGTTTTGCCTTTTCCAGAGTGTCGTATAGTTGCAATTAGTAGTAGGTATTTAATAAAAACTTGCTTAGTGAATGAATAACTGATTGCCATTGTAACCATTCATGTGAGCTCTGGTGAGGCTGAAGAGAAGGATATACATGAGTGAGACAAGGAGGAGGTAGGACTGACAGGGTGTGAGTGGCCATGAGTGATGCAAAAGTAGCTCAAGTTGCTCCCTTGCATTACAGTCCAGGTGCCCTGGAGAAGAAACTAAATAAATAGACATCGGCATGATGTCCTGCAACAAATTCTTCTTATGCAGGTCATGGAGGAAGAATTACATGCACAAGCCCTCATCCTAGAGTCACTTAACGCAAACCTCTACTATACCCAGGTGGAACTCCAAAAAGAGGTGAGTCCCTGCTAGAGTGGGGATGGGGGTTGGGGGAAGAACCTAGGTCTCTGTCCAGCTCTGCCGTATAGCTCTGCCCTGGATGGCTCTGGGTTGGGGAAGATGGCTTTAAAATATTTGTCTTTCAGAAAGCTATAGTGGGAAATCTGGAGAAAATGCTTCAAACCAAGTGTGCTGAAACTGAAGAAAAGTATAAGTACACCATACAGATCCTGATGGAAGAGAACATTCATCTGAAGTGCGGCTGCTGCTGAAAAAGACATGGCTGAGTTCTCTTTAGGAGTGGGAAGGAGTTTGAGTGAGGAATGGGTTAGGAAGATAGACCAAGTGCTCCCTAGTTATGTCAAGGCACAGGCATTTTCAGGAGGGAGGTGTGTCACTGTAGGCCAGCGACACAAAGCCAGATAGTTCACTTGAGGTGGAGTGGAGATGTGTCTACGCTTCTCCCATTCACCTGTGTCCTTGTTTCTGTGCAAAACAACACAGGAAATTTATCTCCCAGTTTCTGAGTTTGCTCAGTTCTATGACTGAGGGTGGTTTTTAAATCCATCTCCCCTGGGAGTTTGATGGTCTTACCATTACATACAGCTGCTTCTGGTTCCTATGGAAATCAGCTTTGGATCAGAAGGTGTACTGTTACCTGAAGCTGCATCTTAAATCATTAAAATAAATTTTGGTCAATACTTTAATAGAGTAAAGTTATTTATTGCATTGATTTAGTAGAAAATTCCTCATACAGGACTTCAGTCACCTGAACACCATACCTCACTAAATTCAAAACCACTGGAAGTAATGAGTGAGAGACTGCTGTGGTGAAGGAACGAAGGCACATTGCTCTCCCTGCACCCCAAATATCCTATACCCTTTCTAGCTTTTGAGTTGACATTGATACATCTTTCCTTTCTTTTTACAGGCAAAAGGTAATTTCTAAGAATGAAGAAATGTATGAAGAATATTCTGGGAGATTGGCCTCTATTACTGTTTCTAAGGATGATTCTGACACCGTGGAAGATGGTAGCAAGAAAAGACAAGAATCATAAACATAAAGTCGCTCTCCATTGTTGAAGATGGTCGGCACACCATTTCTGTAGGCCCCGGAAACTCCCGGCAGGGTTTTCTTCAGAACATGTGTATAATGAGTTTAGTTCTTGGGTTGCTCTGACTCTATTTTTGCTCTATTCTGAGTGGCTGAAAATGTTTGAATTCTCATCTGAATTTCACAGCTTATCACGGACGCTTCATTGAAAAATGATGCTCTCCGTACTGGGAGCTGAGCTTTCTCTGAGTTTTGTACTATTTTTCTTCCACCTTTATGTATTTCATAGGAAAGAAATAGATTTGAAAGCCTTCTTCCTATTGAACTTTTACTATATTTGGGGGGGGGTGTACCTTTGTCCCCTGGGGCATTTAGGTAGCAAAAAAAGATGATGTGTTGATTTTATCTAAAACCTTTTTCTCTCATACCCATGCCCCCTACTTCCCTACCTCTCAATCATGTTCCCTGACCTATGACTTAGGAAGGGTTTCTGATTATTCTTACCACCTTCTCTGGACCATCACCAGAATTCAGACACCCACAGGGCAGGCAACATAAATAAGTGAAGTGGGCTAGACACAAGGAAAACAATTGCATAAGCACAGTGGTAAGTGACAACTGACAGCAGCCTCAGTAGAGGGGCTTGGGCAGGGCTGGGGCACAACGGGTGGAGAAGAATGACCTGCAGAGCACTGTCCCATCTGAAGAAGGTGCTTCTCAGATCTTTGCCATGCAAAAGCGTGAGGTCAATATTGTCAGATATTATGATTTTTTCAAAGAAGGTATCCTGGTTTTTATGTGATATCTCCTAATTTTTAAACGTTGACAACAAATTTTAAAAATACAACTGTGTGTGCCAATCATGGGAGACTCAAGTAGAACATGTCTGTGGTCCAGATGTTTTCCACCTGTGAGATGTCATTGGCAGAAACCAAAATCAAACACAAAAAAATCTCCAAGGAGCAATAAGATCAAATCATACTTTATTCTATTAAAAAGTATTTTTGAAAAAAGATACTTAAATTTTAAAGATAACTTAATTCCTAATGATTTAAAATAATCCAAGCAGAGATGAAAGAGCAAATGCAAATGCATAAAAAGACCCACAGCATTGTTAGCAAAAAGCAAATATAGTTAGCCAAGCATATATATATCATGAAAGTAAAAGAAGGCAAAAAGCAAGTTTGGGGATAAATTATGTAAAACTTGTAAAATAATTTGAATTTTTAAAAGATTTCAATGAAATTTTGTTTTATTAAAAAAAAAAATTTTGGCTGGGTATGGTGGCTCACATCTGTAATCCCAGCACTTTGGGAGGCCAAGGTGGGCAGATCATGAGGTCAGGAGATCGAGACCATCCTGGCTAACATGGTGAAACCCCGTCTCTACTGAAAAATACAAAAAATTAGCCAGGCGTGGTGGTGGGTGCTTGTAGTCCCAGCTACTCGGGAGGCTAAGGCAGGAGAATGGCGTGAACCCAGGAGGCGGAGCTTGCAGTGAGCTGAAATCGCGCCACTGCACTCCACCCTGGGCGACAGAGCGAGACTCTGTCTCAAAAAAAAAAAAATTTTTTTCGAGACGGGGTCTCGCTCTGTCGCCCAGGCTGAGACGGGGTCTTACTCTGTCACCCAGGCTGGAGTGCAGTGGTGTGAATATGGCTCACTGCAGCCTTGACCTCTTGGGTTCAAGTAATCCCCCCACCTCAACCTCCCAAAGTGCTGGGATTATAGACATGAGCCACCATAGGTGGCTATTGTCTAATATTTTTTGATGTGGTAGTGTGGAATTTTACTTCAAGAAAGAATTAAAGTTAATAGAATATTAACAGTGGGCTTAATGTTGATAATAATTTGAATCAAAATCCAGATATATTCGTAGCTGGATTTTGCAGGCATCTGGTATTTATTGCCACCAGGTAAAAACATTCCCAAAGCCCTAGGCATGAGCGAAAGGTGACAGTGTTATTGTTGTTAATATCCTATTAACTTTAGCTCTTACAAAAAAGTGCAAAAAAGCTAATAAATTAACTATTTCGAAAATTAGTAAATAAACATAGTGTTATATATCTAAATAGCACTATCAATCAGAAGGGAAGACAAGTTTTTTTCTTAGTGTGAAAGTTGGCTGTGGCATCTGTTTTCCCATGTTTTTCTTGTCATCCTTGTTGCTTACTTCATAGTTCACTTCAGTCAGGATGGTGAGAATATCATCGCCTCTGAAAGACATCACATAACATTGTGACTATCTGTAGGGGAAAGCAACTGATGAACTGTCTCCTCTGCTGTGCTCAGAGATAGTTCTGTAGATCTTTCTCTCAAAATATCAGTCATTTGAAACAATAAGTTGCTAAACCAAGACCTACCCCAGCTTTCCTGGTAAATGCGTTGTCTCAGAGCTTAATAACTTACTTTTGGTTTATTCAGGAACTCTTTTGACCATCAGAAACCTCAGTGTCAGTATTAGAGTTGATTTCTTTCTCTCCTGACCTGTGTGTATCTCACTCTTCTCCATGTTACTTGGCTCCCACAGTTGCTTCAATGCCCCCCAATACTCTCTGCCTCAAATTGACATTGCATCTGTGGATTCATCTTTGATGCAATTAAGCTTAAGGCAAGTGAAAGTACAATGTCTCCTGCAGCTACTCCTACCTTCTTCTCACCAGGATCTCTTAGCGTTTTTGTTAGGCAACCTCTTCTTCTACCTCGGAGCTAGCCCTGGAAACCTTGCAGGATTCATGACCTAAGTTACAAAATCTAAGTTAGATTCATGATCTAAGTTGTGGGAAATTCTCACTCTTCGTATACTCAAAACATGAAATACAGGGCTAAAAGGAACCTGCTGTTTATTTCCCATAATGCACCAAGAGGTTTTAAGGATGGTTTGCTGTTATAGAACTTTTGACAGAGTTGGAGGATGTTAAACATTGAATTGGGTTACTGCCTTCTTTGGAAGATTTCCAAAACTAGTTGAATTGGCTCACTCATGTTTTGGCCTAAAGACAGAGAGCTGGACTATATGACTTTACCAGTCTTTCCTGCTCTGTGACACCCTGATTGTCCTTTGAGGTGCTGAATAAAGGAATAAAACATCTCAGCTTTTCCATCTATAAACTAAGGATGTTAACACTTGCCACTCTCCCACTTTGTAACTGACCTGGGAAGTGCAGCTATGTGATCCATAGCTAGACATCTAGAGATGAATGGAAACCATTCCCCTTGCACAGTTCTCTGACCTGTTGATGTCATCTAAACCACATATCACTTTCTAATAGTCTCTGAATGTGAGTAGATAGTAGTGGTGATGGAGTAGGAGGGAAAGGTAGTGTAACAGTGAGGTGGGCTGAGTAGGCAAAACTTACCGAGGACATCGTTCTCTCAGGCTCTGGCAAAGTGACTGGATGTACCAGGTTCCCTCTGCAGGGTTTCGGTAGGAAACACAGTTATTCACAGTGGCCATCCCCAGCAGAAAGTCAGCCTCATCCGGGATATATCTCGTTTGAGGTGATGATAAATCCATTTCCAAATAGGGTTGCTCCTCTGAATCAGTCTCAACAGGTATACCTTTCTGGTAGTTATCCCCCTGACAAGCCTGAATAAAAAACACTTTGGGTTTTCCAGCAAGGGAAGGGCACTTCAAACCAGTGAACTGAGATGTCAGCTCATAGATGGGGGCCTCCTGTCCATCAGTGCCATAGATGATGCCCTTGTCTCCATGGGAGAGGATACAGCAGATGAAGCAATCCTTGTTACTGTGGTCCATGAGTTGGTAGGTTTTCAAAATCTTATAGATTTTCTCTACTGTGCAGTCATTGTGGTGCTGGATCTCAAAATGAAGCTCTTCAAAGGTCGCAGTCAAAGCCTCTGAAAAGTGAAATTTGAACAGTCACGTTATACCACAGTAATTCACAGACCAGAGCTGGAAAGCACAGTCGGCATAACATTGATAGATAAGAAATGTCCATCGATGATAGACTGGATTAAGAAAATGTGGCACATATACACCATGGAATACTATGCAGCCATAAAAAAGGATGAGTTCATGTCCTTTGTAGGGACATGGATGAAGCTGGAAACCATCATTCTCAGCAAACTATCACAAGGACAGAAAACCAAACACTGCATGTTCTCACTCATAGGTGGGAATTGAACAATGAGAACACTTGGACACAGGAAGGGGAACATCGCACACCGGGGCCTGTTGTGGGGTTGGGGAGGGGGAAGGGATAGCATTAGGAGATATACCTAATATAAATGACGAGTTAATGGGTGCAGCACACCAACATGGCACATGTATACATATGTAACAAACCTGCACGTTGTGCACATGTACCCTAGAACTTAAAGTAAAATAATAAATAAATAAATAAATAAATAAATAAATAAAGGATTTGAACCAGAAATTCAAGAGCAAAACCCTCTGTTTGTAGCTGGATTCTGCAGGCTTCGAATATTTATTGCCACCAGCTAAAAACATTCTCAAACCCTGGGGCAAATGAGAAAGCAGAGAGTTACTGTTGGTCTGTTTTCTCTACTAAACTAGTTTACAAGATGAGTAAGTTATCATTTAGGCTTACTACTGAACCAATTTTTAAAATGACTATATTATTTACATAATCAGGAAAAACAAAACAATTTTTGAATAGAAGATCCAACTTATTTTATCCTAAACCTTCTCAAAATTATTTATGTTTAGCAAAATAAAATACATGAATTAATAAAATAGAACTAAAAGACCTTTTACAATAGGTTATCCCCCCTCTATCCCTCACTATTACCTAGTCACATTCCATGAAGGCAACCACTTTCAGTTTTTAACCACTCTTTTTTCACATTAACCTCCATTTTGTAATGAATTTGGGTACACTGCTAATTACTCATTTATAAATTTTAGACTTCCGCATTGAGTTCTTATTATGGAGAATAAGCATTTGGTGCTCTTACACAATTATTTAGAATTTTGGTTGAATCCATAGTAATATTTTTATTTTTTTAATTTTTTTTTAGAAAAGATCTCACTCTGTCACCCAGGCTAGAGTGCAGTGGCACAATCTCAGCTCACTGCAACTTCTGCCTCCCAGGTTCAAGCAATTCTCCTGCCTCAGCCTCCCGAGTAGGTGGGACTACAGGCACGCACCACCATACCCAGCTGATTTTTGTATTTTTAGTAGAGACAGGGTTTCACCGTGTTGGCCAGGCTGGTCACGAACTCCTAGCCTCAAGTGACCCACCCACCATGGCCTCCCAAAGTGCTGGAATTGTAGGCATAAGCCACCACCTCCAGCCCATAGTAATATTTCTATTATTAAGACTAT